GTCAGTCGGCAATTGGCAATTGGCAATCGCAAGTCGATTGTGGGTCGATGCGGGGACCAAACTACAGACGTGTTCGCACTAAATCAGCCAAAAACCAACAGAACTTTTTGCGGCGAATGCCAGAGTGTATAGTTTATGGGCCATTATATTGGGCATTTGTGAGCTGGGTATATGGTAAATTTTAAAATGAGTACTTTGCGACCCCACCCAAAAAGGGGTAAATCAAAAATAGACGGGAAGAGGCAATTAGGAGAACTACTTATATTATTTGCAAATAATTTACAAATCATAAAGTCACCGGTAGTGGGTGTGGGCTGCATTAGTCAGCTGAAATGCAAGTTGCTAACAAGGAAGCATACTGTTTTTTTTTTTTTTTTTGACAATGGAGTGTTCTTGGCAGCAACTCAAATACCCAAATAGTGTGTGATTTCAGAATATTCAAGGATAGGATAAGATAGGGTTGTAGGTACGTATCTGCCAGAATCGTTAGCTCTTGCTAAGCATGTTGGGTTTTCCAGAGAGACGAGCCCAGTTTTAGTTTTAGCCAAATGGGCTTCCCCACAGCTGCCGAGATTTATGATACTGCTCCATTTTTCCCATGCTCCACCAGCCGAAAATATCTCCCGAGATTTACGATCAGTGCCGTAATTTATATTATTAGATGGAACTCTACGTGAGTGCTGCCATGTAACACTTTTTTGTAAGCAAATCAGATCTCCAGCTCCGCAAATAGCCGGCGACTTACGAGCTGTTTAGTGGCGGAAAAGCATTCCTTTGGACTGGGATGGAGTATTCGGTCGGTTCGTTGGCCTGGCCGCCACAACTTCGCTTTTCTTGGCGTCCGACGACTCAATCCCCAATCCCCAATCCCCGATCCCCATTTACTGACTCGAATCTTTCCTCGTTTTCTTTGTGGCTCTTTGTTTTGGCGATGTTTTGGCGAGGGATTTACCTGAATATTTAATTGCGCGACAGACGCATTTGCGGTTCGTGCCGGGAGCTTTAAATTGTCGAGTGCTGGGCAGTTTAGGATACCAAATATAATGAGCGATCATCTCGATCATTGGCGCACATATACGTGCGTTCGTTTAAAATTTAATTCAGTTCGTGGGATTTACAAGGGGAAAGCACACCACAAAACTAGCAGTTGCAGGCGCATGATAATGCAGTTGGCACTTATTTATAGCTAAACATCATGGGGTCAGGCGCGATGCGCTGGTCATGTGAATGTAGTGCTCGGAAACCAGTCTATACAACCTATTTCGAATTATTTGTCAGAATCAAAAATGAAGTTCACCCATAAATTACACTGGATTGCAATCCAGTAGGTTTGACTGCTGATTGAAAATAGTAATCATCAAATCGGAAGCCCAGTGCCCAGTTCAGCCGTCTCAGTTGATCGATTAATATTTGATGTCGCCAATTAAAGTACAATCAGCTACGAGAATTAGACAGATATTATACAAGCCGTGGGTCTAGTTTGGTGTGCTTTACTTGGCACCTCGGGGCAAATCTCACGCGGTACAGTTGTGCGCTCCATCTATCAATCTACCCCATGATCGCAGTATCCGGCGATGATGCTGCGTGCCCGGTGGATTATCCGTTCCACATACAGTGGGTGCAATTCCACACAGATCGAGGGCAACGGGATGGGTGTTGGAGGGGCGGCCAAGTCCCTGCAGCCAAATACGTGGTGCATATGGATGTTTGCACAATCCAATTCAAAACGTGTGTGCACAACACCGTGCGAACACCGCTCAAAGACGTTCTTCCATTTTAAAGGGACTCCCATCGCCATCCCAACGACGCTGTAATATCCGCTTTTCCTCCCTAATGCTTATGTTAATGAGTAAAATCTGCATGGGTATTTCACCTATGCAATTTAGAACAAATTGAACAGTCCAAGCCACGGTACAAGTACATTTCTTCAAGTGTACCCTTTACAGACATTTATTGCTGCTGTTGTTATGGCTGATGCCTTAGATACAGATACAGAGACAGATCCGGATACAGTGGAGGTTGGGGTACAGATACAGCAACAGCTACAACTACGTGCACGGCATAATTTATAAACCATTTGTAGGCTTGTCTTAATGGCGAAAATTGAAAGCATTTAGCATTTGAGGCACTCGAGAGTGCGAGTGTGTGGATGGGCAAGGGCGAACCCAAAGGGGTTGGACCCAGGGCTCAAGTGGGACGCCATTACCCATTGCCCACTACCCATTACCCATTACCCACTACCCATTACCTATTACCCACTATCCAGTATACATTAAGTATTATCCAACACAAACAATGCGAAGGCTTAATTGACGATTGTCAGATTTGTTTTACTCCTTGACAGATCGACTGAGCAGTGGAAGAAAGTGCGCGAAACTAAAGCAATTTACAATAATCTTACAATTAATTGCAACGCTTAAGTGGGCAGGTAAGCAAACAGTGTAAAAACAACCTAGCCGCATAACATCGAGTGATTTGCAATTCGGTTGCACTCCAATCGCCGTTCTGGCTCGATCAAAGGTCAAGATCAACGTCGAGAAATGTAATTGGGATTGGGATTGGGATTGGGAATGGGATTGGAAATGGAAATGAAAATGCAATCGGGTGGTGAAATGTCGCGGGAATATTGCTGAAAGTGGGGGAATGTTGGAGAATGTATTGGCCATTCCGAAGGCAAATGCATTGCACATGGCATCTCTCCCCTCACATTTCTCAATAGAATAGAATAGCCCAATAGATATGCCCGATTTTGCAAACTAGCAAGCCATAGATGGAACTAATATACCCCATTCTATGCAAATTAGCTTGGCTTGCGAGCCCAACGGAGGGCAGACGAATTGATTTATAAAAAGCTGACCGCGTAACTTTCCACACCCCATAATAAACCCACTTTTCGGCCGATTGACGTTCTCAAGCTCAGTGTAAATATCCTCATGATCAACCCCTAAATATATAATTATGATTGCCATTCGATCGCAACCCTCGTTTGACGTCACCGCCAATCAAACGATTTTTGCGACTCGCAAATCGAAAATACCAATTTAAAACCGTCACCAGCTTCAGCCAAGGATAAGTGACTGATGGAGCGGCTGCTGGGAAACCAGGTCTGGAGCAAACGTCGCCGATGAACAAAGGCGATCTCAGTGGTGCTGGACTGGGGACTGGACTCGTTGGATGATATAGGGTCCGCTAAATGTTTCCAGTTCAATGGGTAGCATAGTTTTAGGTTTATTGCTTCATATATGTATGTATGTGTTGTTGTTTTGATTGCTCGAATTTCGTGAGGTTTACTTGCGAACTTCTGCTGTTTCGATGCAAGAGGGCTTCTATTGCTCTCCCGTGCCCCATCACATTCAGAGGCGCGTCGGTGGGCGTGGCCGGTCGGGGTGACTGACCTGTTGGGATGCGGAAAATGCAGCGCACGAGGCAAAACAACGAAACAACGAACAACGAAGCAGAAGCAGAAGCGAGAGCGGTACTAAGAAAGGAGACACGGCGACAAACAAGAAAGAAAGACAGAAAAAGGGGGCCGTAAAATATATGATAATATGACGGCCTGGGTAGACGGCGGGCTCAGAAATATTAATAAGCGAGAAATACAATAAATATCGACAATTTTTCGCGCGTGTGGGTTGAAAACGCCAGTGAAACAACGGCGACAAAGACAATGAATGCACTGCTTGTATGGTCATGGATGTGGATGTGGATCTGGGTGTGGGTGTGGGTGAGGGTGAGGATGTGGGTGTCTGCGTGAGCAACAGGTGTGTGGGTGCCCGATTTAAGTGGAATTAGAAATTATTCACCCACAAATCCCAGCTCGTCTCGAAACTGAGTTGCGTATCGGACACAATCCAAAAGAAAGACCAGCTTCAAGTACCGCCGCCAGATTCTCTGCGACACGACGATCCAACGCGTTTTCAATGGTGATATACTGGTTATTAACACCATGTTTATTACCAGAAGGTTGAGTTATGTGCTTGCTTCTCAGTCCAGTGCTCATTTAACGAGCAGTCCTCTTCCCGATTTCACCTGTATTATCTTTCTTAAGTAATAAATTGGGTTGGATTTAGTGGAGCTTCAATCACTTGGGTTTCCGCTACTAGCTTTCCACTTTTTACTATCGAAGCTGCCCAGGATCCAAGCTCTACCAGATCATAGTTGATTTCCAAGCCATGTGACACATACGATACGCATGTGGATTAAAGAACTGCCCTGTTTGCAGTAAAAATAAACAGCTGTTCGCCGGAGAAACGGCCATAAAAGACTTGGGACAGAGGCGTGAGGGGCGAGAAAGGGATGCCAAGTATGGCCCTGGCCCACTTTTGGTTTCGATTTCAATTTCAATTTCAATTCCCAGTCCCAGTCGCAGTCACAGTCCCGGACCCATTACCCGATAGCATTTGAGAAAGCCTGATAAGCAAAGTGCTCGAAACTGATGTTTGGACTCTCGAGTGCCCATACAAGATCGTTTGTAAACATGGTGCATGAATAATAATCCGGCCCGAAAGCAAACAAATACGATTTGTCCTTGGGCAAAGCGGAGTGGAACTAATGTAGGTCATGGAATTCGATGAGAACAGGTTGGCCGTTTTGCTGGTGCCCCGATTTTGGGTGGATCTCTTGCATCCGTTGACGTCAGTACAGTTCATTTCGGAGCGTGCTAAATAGGTTAGTCCGGCCATCAGAAGGGCATTCCAATTGTATGCCCCACAGAAGGCACTACGAAAAGGATTCAGCTTGCAACCAATTTGGACAACATTTAATAGCACTTGAATGATTACATCATTATCTGTTTTTCCAGAGGAGTGAAATCAGCCGTAAGAGCAGAGGATCTTCTCCTCCATCTCCATCAATGTATCGAGACATGAGAGCACAATCAACTTGGGCATAAGGCAGGGTCCCGGGACACGTCGAGGTAAGTACCGCATCATCTATCAATCGCTCAAGAAAGCCAGTTCCCATATCCTATATTCCGAATGGCCACCCGGTTCGGGACTCACCTTTCCGTGGTGGGCTCGGCGCAGATCAGGGGCTGCTTGAGTTCGATGGCCTGGCCGTTCTTCTCCTTCAGCTCGCCATTCTCCATGTAGTATTGTACCAGTTCCGGCAGTGTGGCGAACTTTTCACCTGCAAGAGGAGCGGAATTCACAGGGGTGAATTGAGTGACCGAGTGCGGGGAGAGGAGGGATCCACTTACCACCGTAGAGATCAAAGAAGTCGCCATTGTTTTGGATTTTGATGTGGGTCACCTCGTTGCCGCGGCGCACGGAGAGCGTGAAGGCCCCCGGATTCGAGGAGGAGAGGCGGGCGAGGAAGGAGCCGTCGAATCCCTGCTCCTGCAGCAGTTTCTCAGCTTCGATGCCAGATATCGTTGGGTGGAACCATCTGCGGAGAGGGTAATACGGAATCCAATTTTAGTCAACTGTCGCTGCTCGGCGAGCTGGTTACCCGGTGGGCCAACATATGGGTGTTGTCAGCTGCCACTCTGCCACTATGCCATGTCGCTTCTGGTCAGCCTGCAGTGGCTCCAGTGGCATCAGTGCCTCCAAGCAAGTGGGCAGCAGTGGCAGGTGCAGTGGTGCACGGTGGGGTGTGTGCATCTTTTTGCTGGTGCAATTGTCACTGGTTACCGCACTGCTTACGCGGTGGGCAACAGGCTGAAGCAGTGCAACGGTAATGGCAACGGCTCCGCTGCATCCACCCTTGCGCCCCCCCTTCGCCCCACACTTTAGTGCACTTTTTATCTCAGCAGTTTTTGTTTTTTGTTTCTTTTTTCTTTTTCGCTCTGCCTTGCTTTTGTATCTACTTATACATATGTAAATAGCCCAGTTGGGAGCGGAGCGTGCGTGCGTGTGTGTTTGCCAGTGTGTGTCGTGTGTGTTGTGTGTGTGTGTGTACGACTGCGTGCGTGTGTGTGCGAGCATTGTCGTATTTCCTATTGGATTTACCTTCGCGATGACATTTTCTTATTGAATGCACACTTAAAAAATAAATAATGGTGACACTTAACGGAAAAAAATGAAACTTATGAGTAGATGCTTTGTTTAAACTTATTTTTACAGTTGGTTGGTTGGATACAAAAAAAAACTATTTTTTTACTGGGCAGTGCGGTGTGGCCAGGCGACTCAAAAAAAAAACTACAAAGTGCCTGGCGAAACGGGTGCCGATCTTGGGCGAGCACTTAGCGCGGACTTCCACCACGGACAGGCAGCCACTAAAAGATTGATTTTCAAAATGTTAAAGCACCTTGCCCGCAATTTTCGAAACGTTGTGCCACACTGCTTAGAAGTCCGTTTAATTCGAGACGCTGGGCAAAGTTAGCAATTCACTTTAACTTTTTTCTGCACCAACTTTTTGGGGGTGGTCAAAATGATGCCAATCCCAATCCAAATCCAAGTCCAAGTCCAAATGCAAACTGCCAGCAAATAGTTTTCTTCTTTTTATTCAAGCAATTTAAAAGTTTTCGGTTTGTCCATTGTACATAGAACTGTGTATTTTGTGTTCTCCTTTTACTAATTTATCAAATAAATATAATTTCCATCCTAGGCTGTTATTTATTTGCATTTTGAAATAATTTACAAATACGCGTACAATTAGGGGATCCCATCTTAATTTTGTATCATATTATATGATTTATGTAGCCTTTGCTTGGTTTTTAATATTTGTTTTACTCAGCAGAGACCTAAAAAAGTCACATTCCATTGAAAGATTTGCGATTTAGTAATACGTTTTAAATTGGTTTATAAAGCGCGACCATATTTGATATACATTTATATTTGTTGTATATGAAGTCGTAAAACATTTATGCTTTTATGTTTCTCTTGAGTGTGTATTTTGTCTTTGTCTTTTATATAGGTTTTCGATTTTAGGTATGTATATCTTGCATATCGTTTACTAACAAAGGTACCTAAGATTTGCATTAGATGTGATTCATTATCCACTATTCATTCTTCTATCTGAAGAGCCGATCCATGAACGAAGATCAATGGACTGATCAAATGGGCTGGAATCTTCGAGCGCTCTTCCTTCTTCGCTTAGTTTTGTCGTGTGAGATGTGAGACATGATATAATGTGGTTCATTTGGACTTGATGCAACTTGATGTATCTTTACTTGTACTCATACTTGTACTTCCCCTACTCGTTTATCGCTCTAAGTTCGCTTGCTAGTGTGGCTGGTAGCTTAGGAGGTAAGGACCGATTACGGAGTACCGATTTACTGGCTATAATGGGTAGTGGTTCATAATGAAGAAGAAAAAGAAGAGCACTGTGCGCCTGACTGAGTTTTAGCTATTATTCGATTTATTCGTAATCATAATTATCATTAATCATTAATCATTAGCGTTTTATTTATGCTTGTTTGGTAAAAGTAAATAACACAGCGTTTTCTATGCAAATTAAAATTAAATTTGTGTTTCCTCCATTCACATTAAACAATTGTTTTGAACAAAACAGAACGCGTTTTATGGCCTCGTAAACAATAAAAAAATGAGTAAATTAGGCGTAGTAAACTTAAAGCGAAGCGAAAACAATTGCTGCAACTGATTCTGATTCTGTTTCTGTTCCTATTTCTGAGTCTAAGTCTGAGTCTGAAGCCATCTCATCAAATGGTATTTGTAAATTGCACACGGAACACATTTCGAAACGGCGGATTCTCCAGGGCCACACACCTCTTATGATCAAGTTACATATATATTACATACAAGTTCCTTATTGTAAAACCTAGTGATTGGCTGCCGAACCGAACTCACAGATAAGCCCGCTCGTTCGATCGCAGAAAGCTGAGCGAACAAAATGCAAGCTGTGTATCGTTTTAGATCTGCATATTTCACATATAGACGAAAAGTTAACGCTGCACCGGCGGCGACAGGCGGCAGACTTGCAACTGGCCTAGATGCATTTACCATATATATTTAAGCTTAGTTGGAGTCGGCTCTATAACAATACGAAGGCTCCTTAAAGAGAAAGAGAGGCGGCGGAGAATTGAGTATTATTGCCATGGGAGGACTGGCTGAGTTCTTCGAGCGCGCTCTCCGCAAATATTTCGTTATATATATGTGTCTATATATGTTTGTATTACATGTATATTTTGTTGCATATTTTGTTCTGTCGGGGATCGGCCAGGAAAAGGCCGTTGACTCTGTTGACAAGAAGACCCCACCTTGGGCGCCTCGCATTGGACAGACGAAGCGTTGTTATCCAATCACTAGAGTCCTGGCGCTCTCCGGTTTGTGTGGAAATCTTCTCCTCCCCGGAGAGAATCGAGAGGATTGCATTTAAGCAATAATTTAACGTACGAACTAATCATTAAATTATGTGTGGTGTGGTTCGGTGTGTATATGCAAGTTGTATAGAGATGTACGGTTCAATTGTATAAACACAGACGTAGAGATGGAGCGACAGCTGGGTTCCTGCTCCTCGGCGACTACCGCTTAGCGCGCTTATGTGGGGCAGAGCACCTTCAAGATGTAGTCCGTAAGGAGGGCCGGAACCGTCGGGCTGTCCTCGTTGATGGCCTTGAGAACTGCAACAGATCGGGAGGAGTCGGCATTAGAGGGTCTGATTAGGTTGTTTATGATGTTTAGCCCGCAATGGGTGGTACTTACTCTTGATCAGGACCTGCAGGGACTGATTGTTGGGCGTGCCGTTCTCCAGGTGATACGGAATGACTGTGGTCAAGTACTTGGGCTCGGGACCTGCATCAGTGGGGGAAACCCATGTTAGATGTGAACGTGCGGGTATTTGGGATTGCGAAACTCACCCTGGAACTTGCCGCGCTTCTTCTCCACATGGTACTGCCGCCGTTTGTTCTGGACGGCCAGGAGCAGAGAGATGAACGAGTTCTTCAGCTCCTTCTCAAACTCCAGCTCGTCGCGCAGGGCCAGCTCGTTGATCAAGGTCTCGCTCAGCTCCTGGATCAGCACCTCCATCTCCATGTACAGCTCGTTCAGCTGTGTCGTGGTCAGATATTGCAGTTCTGCAAGAGAAAACAGGGGTTTTGTACACCTTTACCATTACCATTCAGGACGTAGGGTAGTCTGCTTACTTTCCGCATAGAGGGGGGCGCCCAGCACCTCTCGCGCCTTCTCGATCACCTCCGAATCGCAGGTCTCCGGCTCGTCCAGCGGGCTCTCGGCCTCGTCCATGATGTCGTCGATCTCCTTGATCACCTCCTCCACCGTCTTGATCGGCTGGTCGTCCATGTCCCCGTTCAAGCCGTTGAGGATGAGGGCGTGCATGTCCAGGTCGTTGGCCACCGCCTCGTCCTCGCTGGTCAGATCGTTGAACTCATCGCCCGGAGTCTGGGCATCCAGCCCAGATCCGGATCCCGACCCGTTGGTGTGTGGATACGCCTGGTGGCTCTGGTTGTGCAACTGCTGCTGCTGGTTGCGGGCCTGCTGCTGCTGCTTCGTGTGGTTCTGGCCCAGATTCAGGGTGGGCATGTGCATCTGACGGGTGTACGACTTGGACCAGTCGATGGGCAGAATGTTGCCAAAGTTTCCTGTGATGGTCCACCACATTCTGCAAGGACAGGGTAATCAGTACATCGAAATGAACATGGCTGCATCTTGATGGCGATTCTTTTAAGCTAAACACACCCGCTTGCATGATCCCATTTAAGTCCACAATGCCGAACAGCGAATAACCAAATCAACCCTTTCTGCCAAGAAAACACTCTCCATAAATCGCAGACATCAAGGCTTCTCTGAGTTTCGCCTTGCCAGCGCAAGAAACGCCATTTATTGGAGTGCCCTGGCAGCCAGTAATGAGTTTTTTCCTTTCATCATTCGCCCATTCTTTGCATAGCTCATGCCACCTCCTTGCCGCACTCAGCACCAAATGTTCCATGTACTTGTCGCCACCCACAAAGCCCGGTGAGTGAAAGAACTGGCACACTAAACCGCCAAGTGCCTCCCCCCTTTCAGTCACGGAAGCCTAGGCAACTGACAAATTGCCCCATGCACGTCGTTTCCGAAGATAATGAGGCAGCTGCAGCTGCATCTCTGATTGGGCGGCAGATTCAATGGTGAGGATTTGGGAACTGCCACTTCGCACCCAGCTACAGCAACTGAGTCCCGAACGACACTTCATTTGTGAACAGCAAAAACTCGCGCACAGCTGGAGAAATGAGTTTTTAATGTGGATCTGAGGACACCTCGACAGCTCGACAGCTCGACAGTGGCACAGTGCGTTTACAGATGGCTCACTGTAATCTCAGCCAAGCCCCCGCCTTCAGTTCCCTTGGCTTTGGCATTGGGCCCACATTTGCTGCCAGAAGAACTTGTTCGCCAGTCAGACGGATTGTCTGTTCCGAGTGCGCTGGCACAGTTGCTATCAAATTTCATGATCACTGCCAATCATTTAATTGCCTCTTGTCGGCCACGGATTTCCACTCCCCCGTGGATGGGTTCGCCCATAATTATTCATGCTCTACATTGCCGGGCAATTGGCAATTGAGTGCACTTTGCTGATTAGTCGAAGATGATTCACTGCAAATGTCGATTTCGTGGGAGAATACTCGCAAGTCCAGGGGAATCGGAAGTGGCATCTGTGCTCCGCTGAAGGGAAAACTTGTGTCAAAGTCTCGAGACTTCACGGTGCAAAAGCACGTTCAGTGGTGGTCATACAGCCGTGGTGCGCACTGTACGGCACAGCCACACCAACAGACACTATGTGGATGCGCCTAGTGCAGAGGCTGTATCTCGGTTCGGAATGTGTCGAGGCCGCCAAGAAATGTGTGTGCATACATACATATATGTACATATGACTGCGTATGACTACGTGCCGGTGGTGTGGGCAACACTTTTGGAGCTCGCGGACGAGGGGCGGACAGATTACGAATGAATATTTAAGCTGCCAGCAAAGCGAACTAATTACGGAGCACTCACTCCGCCGCCCGACAGACTCATTCGATGGAGCCGCCTAATCGGCTAATCGGAGTCGGAAATGGGATGGGATGGGATGGGATGGGTTGGAATGAAATGGCCGGCTACCAAGTGGAATTGTACGCACTAAATTGACACATCACAATTTGCGTCGCCAGTCCAGTCGGAGAATTCAGGTCAGATCGGATGAGTTGTCCACGGAACTGAAGGGCTGTAACCTCGTTCTGCTCATTCCTCGGGAATGTTTCCACACAAAGTGTGATCATTGCCACCACCAGCATTGCAAGCACCAGCTTAGTTGGTTGGCAATCGCTTCTCTGTGCTCATCTGCTCCGCCCCGCCATCTGCGAAACTCACTTTCCTATCGCGGACAATCCAGTTCAGATTGCAGCCCCCACTCCTTGGCTATTGGGTGCCCTGGCATTCCCCAGTTTCCATCATCGCCTCGGGCAATTAGTGCCCAGACTCTCTCGCACCCATCGGCAATTACAATTACGAGCCCACTTTATCATGCGCGGAGATGGGATCTACCCTGACCACCCATCACAAGTGCACCCGACCACTTTTGGCAGCGCTCTCCATTCGGAAGCTCATCTCTTGGCCAGCGGTGACCCCGACCCGGTAGTTCGGGGCATGCCACACTCCGCCTGGGCGGCTGGCATTGGAATATGAATTTCAGAGTGCGGGGCTGCGGCCACATGCTCCGCAGTCCGACAATTAGCAGTTTGGGTCTCGAAAATCGGCACACGAAACATGAGCTCATCGTTTAGACAAACATCATGTTTAATAACAAGTGGGTTGGGCGGAGTTGCTCGGGCACCGACGACTGCGATACTCTTACGCTCCCATTTCCGCCCACTATACTAGCATACGAGTATGGTACGAGTGTTTTCACACGTTTAAAAGTCATGATGCTCCTTGGATAGGGTAAAACAAAAACCGCAATTTTCGTTGATGAACATTTTTTATGGAAATGGCAATATTTTAATGAATTTTAATTGCGTGTACTTAGATAACCGAATCAACTTGTGTCTCCAGCTGATGAATCACCATCATCCGCTCAACTTGGCGGTCCGCTCATGATGACGATCACGTTGACGATAACGATGATGACGATCAGTCAAACTGCCCAAGTGTCCCCCTTGGCATCCCCCTTGGCATCCCCCACTCCATACCCTGTACATTTTCGCCCAATTGGCTTCATTCCGCCCACGCCGTGCTGACTGTTTTCCCCTTTCTCTCCGCTTTTTAGATAATTGTGGCTGGCATTTCTCGGTGCTGCTTCTTCCTGAATTTCGTATTTTTGTGTTGACTCCCCGGCAAATTGAAATTTCATAGGAAATGAATTTTTTGGTGGTTTGGTGGGCCTCTGCGCCGCGAACAATGGAGAAATAACTTTCTAAAACGGTTCGATGTGCTGCTATAGCATCCAGAGGGCAGCACGCAGATGCCGCTGAAGATCCAAGGCAGTAGCTTTATGATCTTTAGATAATACTGAAATATTATGCCACTTGCTTTGATGTTTGGTAAGACCAGCAAGTTCTGGATTGAGCCTAGGGTAACATACGGCTGAGTCTCCGATCCAACAGCAGTTTTATAGGTGAAATTACGGGTAATAAAGGCAGAGAGCGGACCCTATCTGCTTTCTCAAGCTGTTTTAGCATTTCAAATGTTTGTTTCGACGGCTATTGTTGTCTTCATGTTGTTGTTCGCTGTTTTGAGGTTCGTTCACACGTCTTTTCACCCAACCGCAACGCGCTGTACAATCGCACTCTTAATTTTCGGCAACTTGCACTCGGCAGAGCTCAGACAGGCAGACTACTCGATACCCTGTAATAGGCTGCAGCTGCATTCCCCTTCTGGTGCAGTAAGTATCCAGTATCCAGGACTCAAGCCTAAGATAGCTGACGCTCGTATATAGTGAAGTAGGGGTCAAATACATATGGAGATATACAAATTCGATTACCCTATAAACCATTTCTCTCAGTGGAACCAGCTGAGGGGGCGGGCTGGCAGCTAATCGCCTGGGTTTTTGGGGTGTTAGCTATTTTCTGTTTGTTGTTGTCTTACGTCGTCCGCCGTGCGGAGTGTGAAAGTTTTCTCTGCTCCCCTTCACCTTTCTCCTCTGCCTAGGAAGTAGCAGGGTGACCCTGTGCCGCTTATTTTCCACATATGAACACACACAGCGGGAGGCAAGACAATAGCACCCGCTGCAGCGAACCTACTCAAACCGAAACAAAACCTGGCATATTAGCTAAGCCTGAATCTGGCCAGATTTGAATGCCCTTTGCGACTTATAGGCCCTACACTACGACTTTTCACACGCCCTGCACCATTAATTTGGACTACGCTGTACGCGTTTACTGCGACAGCAAATACGTGGATAGAAAAATGCCACCGCAAACTAAAACACACACTTGCAGCGTAAAAACTAAAATAAAAACAGCCGCGAGAGAGGTGGGAACACCATGTCTTGCACACTTCAAAGCGTTTCTAATTTTAGGCCGTTCACACTTTGCGTTGGCACAGGAGCCGCATAGCCTATATAGTCGATCCAAATTCAAATCGAGCTGTGTGTTAATGGACTGTGGGGTGTTTGGATGGGGTGCAGAATTGGGGACACGGCAAATGACATCGGCGACGAGAACGAGGAGCTGGGGCAGTTGGTTTTTAATTCGTTTCGCGGGTGGGCTTTTTGAAAAACATTCCTTGCATTCCGTGCACGGCTATCAGCTTACACGTACGATCCTAAAACGATCCAAAACATGATGTCACATAAAGTGGTCCATAAACAGAGGACACTCTATGACGAACGCATTTATGCGAGATACCATCTGGCCACCTGCACAAAACTGAAATTAAAACAAACAATTTGGAGTTTCAAGCGCGAGTTGCCATTTCGGATTTGGTTGCGTGCTTGTGCAAAATCAACTTATAATTAATTTGTATAAATAGGCCATTAGCATTAACAAAACGCGCGAGAGAGCCGCGCCAGAGAGAAACTGGGCAATGTTGTCTATGGCTTCTGTCTTCGGTCTTCGCAGTGGCCTCCATGGCAATCTTCATCTTTCTTCCGAAACCGCAGAGGAAAATGCTGCCAGTTATGTGGCCCACAAACAGATAACAGCAAAAATGCGAACAAAACAAAACGAAACGAAACAAAACCCACAGCACACGTGTCGTATATAGCAGATATATATATGTGGTATAGGTACAAGTACAGCACTACGGTAAAGAGAAGAGCTGGAGAAGATTGCTAAGCGGCGACGATCGATGGGGCACCACTCGTGATCTCGATTCGGAGGAGGCAGACCGCCCGAAAGTCCGTCCAAGATCGTCTGAATACGCATTTGAGTACGACCTCGTCATGGCTTCGTCAGTGCTTATACGAGCTTGCCTGTACAGTGTGCACTTTCCCCAGATGCCAGCCAGTTGGGTTGGCTCGTTGTGCCGCAGAGTTATTAAATCCAAGAGCAGACAGTCGCCCCCGCTGGCGACGGGCTTTCTTGCTCTGGCTTCAAGGACCCTTGAAGTGCTTCCCTTGGCAGGGCATCCAGCGTCCTCGGCGCATCCTTGGCGCACTCCCACTCCCTCCACCAAATGCCAGAGGAGTCTGCTGCAGATGCAGTTGCAGTTGCACATGCCGATGCAGTTGCAGATGCCGTGGCAGACTCAGCCCAATTATACAACACCCGTGCTCAGCTGCCTTCAACCACCAGCCAGCAGAGCCTGGTCCGCCTCCCGCCTCCCCGTTCTCCGGGCTTCGTCCTTGACTGTGCTCCAAACGTTGTTTTGTTTGCTGATGATGTAATGCGGCCGCAGGCAAAGGCTCCGCCTGTGTGGCTTGGCTTAGTCATCAGATACAATATCTCTTCGATGACAGTCAGACATTTCTAATATTCGAATGGCGCCGAAAACAGTGGAAAACCGGAACGGGGCAAAGTGGCTCTGTGGAAAGTTGAGCGAGGTTAGGTCGCCAATTAGCATTCGGGGGCGTACAGCAGTGCGCCCAGTGGGTGGTGGCCCGTGTCCCCGGGCGACGCCTCCAAACAAATGCCCAAAAGGTTAACGTCCTTTGGCCCCTCGATTGCAGAATGCAGCCCACCCTTCAGAGGAAGGGTCCGAAAAGTCGGCGTGGCCAGGAAGTGGCACTCGTGCACTTGCCACCCTCGTCCGCTCCCCCTCAATGCATTCGGACTGATAAGTTCTTAGCGTCGCAGCGCCGCAGCTCTGTAGCTACCCGCAAAACACGCATACGACGTGTTGTCGGCATGACTCATCCAGCGGATACGGAACCACCCGAACACAATTTCTGTCGCACAGGCACACGGAGAGAAATGGGGGGTATCTAAACGGTTCCGATTCGAGGAACCATTCCTGTGTCTGCGCAAAAACTATAATGCTCCCTGTGCATAAACTGCGCTGTTGTTCCTGAGCGCCACTTACATCAGAGGGCGGGTTACGTTGCCACTGGGCCGTGTCCTGTCTAGCAACCCCAGGCAATCATCCCCTGCCGCAGTTCCATCTGATTATTTATAGCGGGGACCTGCTAATTGATTACCATGCAGTTCAGTGGCTGCCCTGCGGCCCAGGACCATGAAGGAAGCCCGATCCGAACTTGGCCTCGGCCACCCCAAAGGAACATACTGCAGTGGCCAGTCAGTGAACCCGCAGTGAACGCGATTGGCAGAACTTTGGCCTCAAGTCTTGATTTCGGGCAACGTTTTGCAGGGCACTCGGGTTCCAAGCGGCTCCAAGCGGCTCCAAGCGGGTTCCAAAGACATGCCATGTCGTCAGAGTACGCTCGCAGAGCTCTTGAGCGCATTGCGATCTTGGAACTGATTCCTACAGTCGTAGAAGGCCGCAAACTGGTTAGCAGGTTGCCCAACCAACTGCCAATTAAGAGCAATCAACGCTGCGGCCAGATGAGTTTGCTGATGTAAGTGCTGGCATTGCGTGTGGTCAATTAATAGCCGAGTGCTTAATCGATCTGACTGCAGCTCGCTAAGATCGCTGAGATCGCTAAGATCGCCAAGATCAGCCGATCAGCCGATCAGCTTGGCCACGCGAAGCGGCTTTTGGCATTTGCCGCAAATGGCTGGCTGCGAACGAGTTTCGGTGTCTTATTACGCAGGCATTACGGAGCTGAAGAGCCACCCCACCCCGACGCATCTTGTCCGATACTCCCGATACTCCCTGCATCCGCTGTGCAGTTCGTAGGTCGCAGGATGCAGGTCGTTGAACCCCGCTGCGGAACAGGAATCGATCGGCTCTTGGGGACGTGGACGTGGCGCAAAAGTGGGTCGCCAGCAACAAGCCGATTATGAGCGAAAATCAGCATGGTCAGCAAGCTTTTCGCCCGGTTAGCTGGCGTGTTTCGGGCCACAGTAGCCGCAGTAGCCGCACCGGAAGAATGCTGGCCATATGGAGCGCATTTTATCGTCGTGCCTGGCATATGGTCAAGTCAGCTTGACTGGCAATCGTGCCTGCACTGCGTAGTGCGAGTTACGCCTTGGATAAAAGTGGCATTATTCACTCGACCATTCCAAGGGCCATAAGCGGTTTGGTTGACGTGGTTGCATGCTGCATAGGAAATGTGGGTTGGCACTGTGAAAGGCACCACTGTTTCTGTAAGTAGTTCCACACTTGTTATCCTGGAGTCGCCGTTCTTCTGCTTCCTGCGTCGTGGCCGCCAAGAGCCTTTCCGTGCTGACGCAACTTTGCCGCTCCAACTTTTCCGAACTTCGTCCTTGGAGCAGCTGCCACTAATCAGAGCGGAATGCAGTTGAAAACTTTGCCACAGGCGGATGGCTGGGCCGGGGGAAAACGGGGGCGCTGGGGGATGGTTCCCACGACAGGGACTGGAACAATGGAGCGACCTTCGGCCCGGCAAACCCACTCAGCACACTTTCCATGGAATCACCAGTGAATAAGGTAAATATTGACAACTGGCGTGGACGGCGCAGCTGCGTTTAATGCGCCAACACACAAGAGCAGACCATTGGCACCCAGCATCGGGGTTCGAATGCCTGATACCCCGCGCCGCACACACATCAGCACTTCTGGGAACCATAACCAATTCGATGGGATTCGATTATGAATACCGCAGGGCACCCATACGAGTATGTAGGTGCCCCAAAAGAGAGCAGAGCCTTCCCGTAAGTCGACCCGCGCTCTTCTTCTGTTCTCACTTTGACACGTCAAAGTGTTTGACAAGTAATCAAGCCGCGATACCCTCTCCCCAGAGAGCGGGAGCAGGAGCGGGAGAAGAGGCAGTGACAGTTCGTGTGTGGCTGAAGAGAGGGGGACAGCAGAAAGAGATGGGGATGCAGAGGGTGAGAGGGAGAGCGAAAGCGAGAGCGAGAGCGAGGGGACAAGGTGACAGCGGTGGCAATGAATACTCATAAAATGAAAAACAAAGAACGCATTTAAGACCAACTAACTGCATCAGAGCGAACGACTTTGGCTGACTGCGCTGCTGCAGAGTTTCGCTATCTGTACACGCTTCCAGGCTTTTTCGTGCTTCGAGGATTTCAGGCTTCCAGCACTTCGCACTTCCAGGAGGCAGAGCAGAGGCAAGAGCAAAGAGTTATTCACGCAAATATGTATGTAAACACAGACTAGCATGTACAACTATGTATGATTATTCATTTCGTCAGTGCAAAATCTGGAATTTCAATCACTGTGTCTAAATGCGTCAAACTATTTCGGACACACATGTGAATACAGTGAGCGCACAGGCGGTAAAATCAATGTTACTCAAGTTCAGAGTGACAAGATTCGAAAACCCACAGATTGATCTGTTTAACAAGTACCAGTTTCAGATGGATCGTCTGGCTAGAACTTACAGAATCTTTGATTTAATTCGCGGAGCTATAAAGAATCTAATGGCATTAATAGCACTGGATCATTTGTGCAGAGTGCATCTTAGCGATTGTCCACTGTGTGTTTATTTATTTGCACAGGATGTGAGTGAGTATTCGCGCTCGTAAGCACACACATACACACGTGGAAAGCGGGTGTGCACGCGATTATCAAATTTATGGCTGATGTCAGCCGAGAGGGAAAGAGGGAAAACATCTATACATCTATACATAGTATTATTGTTTTCCCTTCTCGTTGGACTTGCATTCCACGTCGAAGTCGAATCTCTGCAGCCCCAACCATCTCCACGCTCCATGTTCAAGTCGGGCCAATGCTGCATGAAGTGTTTATCTGGCCACTGGACATAATATGATTTATTGCCCCCACTCTCTGTGATTGCCGCTTCCTCAACATAAGTGGATCAGCGTTACAATGGGGCCTACCACCGCGGCGGCACCACTGCCATCGACATTGGGGGCCCAGTTGCATCCGAGGCGAAGCGCAACAGTCTTGCAAAGCCCAGATGAAAACAGCGAGCAGCGAAAACTCCTGGCACTTTTATCGATCCAACAAGAAAGCACTAGCCAACCAACACCAACCACCCATCGCCCATCCCTCGCGATTCGGGCAGGATTACGTCGTTATGTGGCGCCGGGCTGGAACAGCCAGCCAGGGGGCGGAGCGGGGTGGTTTGGCCGGGATCAGGGGTCAGGGGTTACGGGTTACGGGGTAGCGGTCCGAGCTCGGAGCATGCGCACTCAACACCCCAAGCGTCGCAATAGACACGAAAGCAGAAAACAGTACTAAAACGCAAAACATCGCAAAATGCATTTTACATAACTATAATATTGGATTGTATCATGCGGCACATCCTTACTCCGGAACTTCCTTCGAGTGTTTGGGTTACATGATGTAGCTCTACCAAAATCCACCCCCAATGTTCCCAATTTATAAGTGCTTATAACATGACATCAGACGTTTGGAAAAAAAAAGCAACGCCAATGGCTCTATTCAAATTATAATTTAACAACTATTAATTCGGTAATTCATTTCCGAGAAAAGGAGCCTCCCATTGCTTGTTTATAGAAACCAAACACTTAACTACAGGGCATGACAAGGGTTTTGGGATAGTGCCCATTGGGTAACTACTGGTTTACTTACTGGCATTCGTTCATGATCTCCTCCTGGCTGCGCACCTGCACCGGAGCCAGCTCCTCGACGTTCTCCTCGTAGTTGCCAAAGCACTTGGTTATCTTTTCGTCGAACGTGTTGACCAAATCCTCCAGGCTCCCGCCGAAGGTCTCCGTGAAGTTGTCAACATGGTCGCCGGCGGCCAGGGAGCGCTTCTCCAGACCGTCCAGACCAACACCGGCTCCCTCGCCTGGCACCAATCCCACATCGGACAGGCCGATTTCTATGAGCGACCCGCCCTGCAGCGTGTTGCAATTGGGGCTAATGGAGCCAGCTCCTCCTCCCACTACTCCACTTCCTCCGTTCTTGCTCACATGCGCATCGCGTACCGCATCCTCCAGGAGGCGCAGCTTGGCCGCATCCGGCTTGCCGCCGGAGGAGGAATCCTTTAGATTCAGGTTGAGCGTGTCGTTTAGGGCATTCTGATTCGAGATGAAGTCGCAGCCGCCCCACTCGTCCGTCTCCTCGAACTTTGCCAATGGAGCCTCGAATTTTAGCTCGGCCATTTTGGTGCCGAGGTCACGCATGGCACGCGCAAAGGATTCTCTCAAGGATTCGGCGGAGTCCCCTTCCGATTCCGTTTAAACTTTTGGGGGCAGTCTTCACTTGCGCGCTTCCCTTTTCTTCCTTCAGAACACAAGTTCTACTGACTTTTCCGGACTGGCTGCAAAAACTTTGCAACCCCTAATTCGGCTAGTTGCTTGTGGGTTGAGCGGGGCTTTCGGCGGGGAAAATGCCCCGGAATACGAAACACGGAACACTCGACTCCGTGGAACTGCGGTTCGGGCAATTCCAATTGGACTTATTCCGATTGCCCAGCGCTCGACTTTCTGGCTGGCTGTCTGTCTGATATGACTGATCTGCTTACGAGCACAATAAACACCAAACAATAAAAAAAATAAATCACACTGGCACTCAGACGCGGTTGCTTATGTTTTGTTTCTATAAATTGCGTTTCTACAACTGACGACCGAACTGCTCTCCTGCAAAACTAATTTCGACTGACAGTGGTGTGACCAGAAACGGATTACCACCAAATGCTGTGTTCGGTGTTATTTAGTACATTATTCGGTGAGAACAGGTGGCAATACCCGTTTAGCCGTTGCACAAACCATTATTTAGACATAAACCATATTCAGTATTTTTACCATTTTGCGGTATAATTTAGGAAATTATCGACATCACCTTGGTGGCAACGTCGGCGATATCAGTAAGGTATAAAAGCACGCCTGTTATCGGGTAAATTACAAAAAAAAAAAAAAAAGTGTAAATTAAGAAATAAAACACAAAAATACACGCTTTTCCTGGTGAACCGCGCAACGTGGACCCTGCGCACGAATGGCCACCCGTGGGGCCGGCACCGCTGTGGTCCACACGACGGTGACAGCCACCTCGCTGACGGTGGAGACGATCACCAATGTGCTGACCACGGTGACTTCGCTCCATTCGAACAGCGTCAACATCTCAAACAACAACAGCAGCAGTGCAGCGGCCCCGGGGACGGATGCGGCCAGCGGCGATGCAGGGAGCGCGGCAGCGGCCCAGACGGACACCAACAAGCCAATCTATCCGCGGCTCTTTAACCGCATCGTGCTGACGCTAGAGAACAGCCTGATTCCGGAGGGCAAGATCGACGTGACGCCATCCAGCCAGGATGGACTGGACCACGAGACGGAGAAGGACCTGCGCATACTGGGCTGCGAACTTATTCAGACGGCGGGCATTCTTCTGCGCTTGCCGCAGGTTGCCATGGCCACCGGCCAGGTGCTGTTCCAGCGCTTCTTCTACTCGAAGAGCTTCGTGCGGCACAACATGGAAACTGTGGCCATGAGCTGCGTGTGCCTGGCCTCCAAGATTGAGGAGGCGCCGCGACGCATCCGAGACGTGATCAATGTATTCCACCACATCAAGCAAGTGCGGGCTCAAAAGTAAGTGTTTTTACTGCTCTTGGCAGTCCATGCACCTAACACCCAACAATCACGACTTGCTTATCTCGTCCTGCAGGGAAATCTCACCCATGGTGCTGGATCCGTACTACACGAACCTCAAGATGCAAGTGATCAAGGCCGAGCGACGCGTCCTCAAGGAACTGGGCTTTTGCGTGCACGTGAAGCATCCGCACAAGCTGATCGTTATGTATCTGCAGGTGCTTCAGTACGAGAAGCACGAGAAGCTGATGCAGCTCTCCTGGAACTTCATGAATGACTCGTTGAGAACGGACGTTTTTATGCGCTACACACCGGAGGCGATTGCATGCGCCTGCATCTACCTGAGTGCCCGCAAGCTCAACATACCTCTGCCCAACAGCCCGCCGTGGTTCGGCATTTTCCGGGTGCCCATGGCGGACATTACGGATATCTGCTACCGTGTGATGGAGCTGTACACGCGTTCTAAGCCGGTGGTGGAGAAACTGGAGGCCGCCGTGGATGAGCTGAAGAAGCGGTACATTGATGCGCGCAACAAAACGAAGGAGGCAAACACACCGCCGGCTGTAATCACCGTGGATCGCAACAATGGCTCACACAATGCGTGGGGTGGCTTCATCCAGCGTGCTATCCCACTGCCCTTGCCATCGGAAAAGTCGCCGGAGAAGGATTCTAGGTCACGTTCGCGATCCAGGACGCGCACCCAGTCGCGGACACCTCGCTCCCGCTCACCCAGGTCCAGGTCGCCGAGTCGCGAGCGCACCAAGAAATCCCACCGCAGTCGATCCTCCCGCTCGCGCTCCCGGTCGCCGCCGAAGCATAAGAAAAAGTCGCGTCACTACTCGAGGTCGCCCACGCGATCCAGTTCACCGCACAGCAAGCACAGGAAGACGTATGTACTCTAACGCATGAGAAATTGGGTAGATTTATAAGCACTGTGCCACTTTTTATTACTTACTTCTTTTAGGAAATCCTCGCGAGAACGCTCTGAATATTACTCCAAGAAAGACCGGTCTGGGAACGCAGGCAGCAGCAATAACCTAGGTGATGGCGACAAATATCGTAACTCCAGCTCCAATTCAGGCAAGCACAGTCGCTACTCCTCGTCGTCGCATCGGAACAGCGGCGGCGGTGGAGACGGAAGAAGCGGTGGAGGAGGAGGTGGTGGCGGCGGAGGAGGAGGCAGTGGGAACCACGGCAGTCGAGGTGGCCACAAGCATCGGGATGGCGACCGCTCCAGGGATCGCAAGCGCTAGGGATTGACAGACAAGCTAAACAAACACTCCTTTTTATTTAATTGCTTTTTTTTTTACAGATTTGAAGATCATTTCTACCGATTAGTTTGATTTAGTAATTCTAATGTATAATGTAAAACGAACGCGGGTAAAGAATAAATGTAACTCCTCAATCAAGCAGCTTTCTGCGCCTTGGAACTACCCGATCCCAATCTTTGGGAAACACTTTGCACATATCACAGCGATCCGACAGAGAAAGAGCACCGGAAAGAGAGGGAAGACAGGCGAGATGCCTCAGTGCAATTGCACATCACCCGGACTAGCACATCGTCCTCGAGACCCGTGCTCTTGTCACCTTGGATTGTACTTAAAATGTTGAAGCTGAAGGAACCCTGGTTTACCCAGACGCTGATTTCTACTCCTATCTAATCTATGAAGGTAACCTCTAAATGATGGTCGAATAGGACATCAAGGCAATCTGGGGATGCGATAGCGATACGTCGCGGAACTCATTCGTGAAGGAGAGGATGAAGAAACTGAAGATGGTGGCGATGATCCACTCCGAAATAGAGCTGACCACGTGGAAGTACCAGCCGCCGTCCGAGGGATACCTAAAGGGACGAGTCAAGAGGATAGACGTAAGTATCGCCCTGATGTAAAAGCCAGTCTGCAGACCCACCACTTTCGCGGATTCTGTCCCTTGAACAGAATGTGCGACATCACGCCGGTGACCGCTAGCAGGATGAACAGTATCGTGCAGACCACGGACATGCCCAGCCGCAAGTGAGCGTAAATGCGGGTGCCCGACATGGGGAAGATCAGATACGAGATGAGCGCCTGCATCCAAAAGTACAAGGTGCCGCAGCCGAAGCAGCAGAAGGCTCCAATGAAGTGGACAATCCGCACGTTCGTCTCCTGAAAGTTGCCCACGAAGCTGATGCCCAGGCAGGACACCAGGCCGAACCACAGGGCCAGTCGGTTCTGACGCAGCACCGAGGCATCCAAATCCGGGTGGTGTTCGTACAGCTGCAGCACCTGGCGATAGCGCACATAGATGGTGATTCCCACTGCAAGGCATGAGCAACTTAGTAACAAAAAATTGCACCGCTGCTACCGCATCTAATCAGCAGATGACTCATCTCTGGAGACGAGACGGGATGCCGGGAGAGGGACTCACGCAGAACGCTGCCTATGTTGATAAGCTGGCCGAACACACAGCTCTCCGGTGAGTAGGTGGCAGCATCGCTGATGTACGGAACCGTGGGCACCACATGCCCCTCCAGCACGGCAAAGATGTACCTGGAGACCAAGGAGCCGTCGGTAAATGGGGATGCAAAGTGAACCAACCACGCAATGGCGTACTTACGTGCCGAGAAAGGTGACCTGGAAGATCAGGAACGTGGCCACCGGTAGCAAGTAAACCTGCGACATCGCGCCAGGGAATGGTGGATGCGGGCGGTGGTGGGTCGCAGCACTGGCCACAACAAACGTATCCTATTTAATTGCGCTGCAGCAAACCGAACAAGGGACCGAAATGTTTGGGTCTCTGGCAGTGCTGCTGAATCGACTGAATTATAGCTGCTGCTCGGCCGAATTTTTAAGCCATGGGGGGATTCCTGAAGTGGGTAAGTGACATACCCCTACTACCACAATATAATGAAGTACTATTAAATGTACTGTTACTTCGCGTCTATCGGGCTTACTCATGACACGGACGATGAAACATTCAGTTTGCTCATCTCTAGTATGCGCTTAATTTCAGACTAACGGTTACCTTCCACCTAGCTGATTTCCTATTGGTCGAATAATGACTGGAAAAATGTAAACGGCAGCCATCATGAAATATATCAGCTGTTTTGGTTTTATTCTGGGCTGCCAGCTGACTCCTGCTATGATTTCTGTTTGCCTGGTATCAGAAATCAAAAATAATGCAATAATATCGACAGACAGGTTGAATTTTAAAACTTTCGGGAAAACGTCGGATTGTCGATTGTGCGTTTTTTGGAACTATGGAAATAATGGTCCAAACATTCGTTACCTCGTTAAATTCGTATTAATTCCCCGTGGGATGGTATGGCAGGCTGTTAAATTTTTGACATATTTTACAAAATTTAAACACACATTATTAAAATCGTTAAAATATGTATTTATCGAAATTTCGATGAAACGTGAAGAAAATCGTTTGGTATGCGAGTAGCTTTACAAAATCGTCATTTTTTATTTGTGTGACAAGATATGAACATTCCTATTATAAAAATATTAGTATTTTTAATGTTTTTTTGTTCAATAACATTTTTGTTTTTTTTTTTAATGGAAATACTGTTTGAATGCCCCCAACACAACCGTCCCAGTATATTTTAGTATATTTTTGTAGTTTTCAAAAGCGTTCGCAACGTGCTGCTGCTTCTCACCTGTGGTGCCTCCTATCAGTCGCTCTGCTAATTTTCAGTTATGGTGGCCACCGGTGGACAGGCTCAGAAACAGAGCCAAAACCAGAAGCCGGATGTGCTGAGCCCCACGTCGGCGGTGACGGGGCTGCCGCAGAAGCGCTACTACCGTCAACGAGCGCACTCGAATCCCATCGCAGACCACAGCTTCGACTAGTGAGTAGACCATGAAATGCACTTCACACACTAAAGGTTCTGTCCCGTAGTCCTGCTCGCCCGGAAGATGTGGACTGGCGCTCTATGTACCCGAGCATCCAGCAGGGCCAGCAGGTCAGTTTTGCGGACATCGGCTGCGGCTACGGCGGCTTTCTGGTCACCCTGGGCGAGATGTTCCCAGAAAAGCTCTCCATCGGCATGGAAATCCGCGTTAAAGTGTCTGACTACGTGGTGGACCGGATTGCGGCACTGCGTCGCAAGTGCGCGGATACGGGTGCATACCAGAACGTCGCCTGCTTGCGCACCAACGCCATGAAGTATCTGCCCAACTACTTCGCCAAGGGCCAGCTGGAGAAGATGTTCTTTCTCTACCCGGATCCGCATTTCAAGCGCGCCAAGCACAAGTGGCGTATTATAAACCAGGCTCTGCTCTCCGAATATGCCTATGTCCTCAGGAAGGGGGTAAGTCGCACAATTCCTTAAAATAGCTTGATATGCGGATATAATTAAGTCTGTTTACCCAGGGTCTGGTGTACACCATGACGGATGTGGAGGACCTGCACAAGTGGATAGTGACACATATGGAGGAGCATCCGCTGTACGAGCGGATTACTGAAGAGGAGGCCGTACGTTATTTGAAACCGTAATCATGCAGTCAAGTCCCACATTAATAATCACATTTAAACCCACAGAATGCTGATCCCATCACCCCGAAGCTGTACCAGAGTAGCGAGGAGGGGGCCAAGGTGGTTCGCAACAAGGGCGATCATTTTTTGGCCATTTTCCGGCGCCTTTAGGACACGTATATTCTCCATATATGTATACATTAATTTAAGGTTGCAGTAGATTAAAGATCGCAGTAGATCGGTTGTTAAAGCATCTTGTTCAGTTGTCCCAAGCCCTCGCAAGTGACAAGCGTCTGGCCGCCGGGCTCCGCCGCCACGTCGAACTTGACGCCCGTCAGTTTCTCGGCCACATGGATGGCGGTGCGTGTGTGCTTGGTCAGCCTGCCCGTGCGCATCCTTGAACGTCCGACGGCCAGGGCCATGTAGATGATGAGCTGGTCTTGCATGTAATCATCAACGCAGATCTCCTTGCGTATAAACTCGGTCAATTGGCACGACGCCTTCGAGCCGAGAACGTATCCGTCGATCCTCTTCTTGCCCAATGCAGAGGCACCTAGGACAACACCGGCGGTCGTGTTGGCCGTGATCGTGATTCCGGCTCCGTTGTCTTGAGCCCTCTCTCGCGAATGCTTCACAGTCTCTATGGTGCACTCCTGCTCCGGCCACAGGCGATGGATCTCGCGTTGCGCCGTCTTCTTCATATCTATCGCAATATTTATGGGCAGGCAGCCGGCGCAGAAGGCCACTCCGCTGATCAAGTTGATGCGGCCGAAATCTATGAATTGTCCGGCATTAAGCTTCGCCACGGGCTGCACGTCCAACTGGCAGTTGCCTCTACCGCGTGGATAGAAACCGTAGTTCTGCACCTTCAGGTCGAAGCCAGCCCCAAAGTGTTTTAGGTTGGGCAGCAGCACCTGCTGCATATACTCCACCGGAGGGGCAAAGGCCACGTTCGTGCCCCCGGTCACAATCAGGCGGGACGAGTGTCCGGCAAAGAGCAGCACTGGTAGAGCCATCTGATAGATCAGAGTAATGCTGGCTGCCGTGCACGTTTCCACGCGATAAGTGTTGTCCAAAATGGTGTGCGGCGTGAACTCCACTCTGGTGGAACACAAGACGTTTCCCACCACGTCCGCATTGGTGATGTCCCGAAGCAGGTCCAGCCCGTGCATATTCTGGATCGATAGTCCCGGATTCGGGCGGTTGGCCCGGATCTTGACCACGCGCACCGGTTTTCCCAAAATGCAGCTGAGGCTTAGGGCGTTGCGCAGCGCCTGCCCGCCACCCTCCAAGTAGGAGCCGTCGATCTCCACAAAGTCTTTGGCGTTCATTTTCCTGATTTATTGATGCTCAGGGAGTCTTGATCTTACGTCTTCTTTTTTGTCAGCCAAGTCAAGTCAAGTTGTAGGTATGTGACACGAGAAGCGGAGCAATTTCTATCACAATGACAGCGGTTAATAACAGCTCCATTTCACTCTATTGGATTCCAATTGGAACGCCGCACCAGGGATACGAGCAGTGTGCCCATCTCCCGTTTGCCAGGGAACACCTGCCACTGTGGTCCCACTCAAAGCGCGCCCCATTTGAATTGGTCCGGCAGCACTGACCAGACGTAAACAAACGGACTTTCATCGTATTTGCCGTACAAAAAAGCCGTAGTGTAGAAAATAAAACACTACCATTAACGATAGTTTATTAAGAATGGCTGCGTAAGTGACGCACTTGTACACTTGTGCATTGTCCGCCTTCGCATGCTAGTACGTGCCGCCTTCAGGCGATTTACTTATCTACAACGTGCAATCGCGAAGGCAATTATCTTGTTACGTCCAGCAGTTTAGCAGTGGTTTAACTGGCCCGAGGCATCGAAGACGAATCACTTGGCAATTGGGCAATCGCAAGTTTGGTCCTCCACTGGAATGCTTGGCTGGCTCTCCCTTCCTGCACAGTGGGGCCAAAGTAGGAAGGCTGCAAATAGGGAAGAGAATCTCATATACTACTTACAGTTCATTGCTATGGAACATTCAAAATATAAACAACTTTCCGCTTGGAAAGGCTATTCAAGATTATTAAGGTTCCACTGAAGCCTGAGAGCTTCAATACTGGGTAATGCTTCAAGACTGATAAAAATAAGCCTATCAGCATAACCGGGCTGTGTCCACATTAGCCTCAGCAGACATTGATGGAATGGGATTAGGACATAATACACCTGACATGGTTCCTATGCGTATAGAATGATATTGAATTTGTACGCTCCTAAGTGCATTATTTTCGACCCTCTTAACCAAAGACTAGAATACGAAGTGTTCAAAGGTACGGTGTTTACCTAGAGATAGCGAGATATCAATAATATGTTTGATACTATCCGTATCAACAGGTCTAAAGAACAGCCGTTTACCAATTACTTATGAAGTGAAGGCAGTGACGGAAAATTTGGCTTACTTATCGTGGTGGTTATTCCACTCGAAGAGTCATGGGAGCCGCAATCAAAGCGCTGGTTTTCCCTGTTCTAGTTCCGCTGGCGGTGATGCAATTTTGCCGGCGCTGACTGTGCCACAATGGGCTCAGACAACAGGTATGTTGGTCGCCAAGTGCATTGGTCCGAAGCGCGAGGAAGGCCAACTATGTGTTACCCTCTACGACTTCTTGGTTCTGGCCACAAGGAGGTGGGGAGATTGCTTCGATGTGAAGTGCGGCGACGGCAAGGTCGCAACGTTTTCGTTAGTGGAACACACACGCGAATGGTCGGAAAGGCTGACAACTGCGGCCAGAGTTATAGTTTCCAGCGATGTGCATCGGGTATATCAGACTTACTTGATCCTGTTAGGAAATTAACTTGCTTCGTTTGGGTATAAGTAGAGTGTTATGTAGCTGGCCTTCGTATTTTCTCCGAAGTCATCCACGTCATCCTTAAACTATATTACTCATGAGCTATTTTTGAGAAGGAGCGCGCAGAGTAATTATTGCCCGTTTGGATTACACAGTGTTTCTGGCTCTAGTATCTTGACCGCCCCTGTGTCCACGGACACACAGACCCCCAATATGCATGTGTGTTGGGGAGGCACGAAGCTTCCACTTCCAGTCGAATCCAGCGACGAAGTTGCGCGCCATACGCGGTCCGCACTTCACGCGCGCCAGACGTGCCTCGCATTGGCTCTTGCTCTCCCGACTCCCGACTCTCTCGCAGCGTTCCTGGTCCACTCGACTCCACTCCGTTTATCTCGGTACCGACGCGGACCCGACCTGTTGCACGCTCCCAGGCTCTCTTCCCTTCCACGCGATATTCCAGTTGTTTTGTTTTTGTTATTGTTATTGTAGAGAGTAGTGAGTGGTGAGTGGTGAGTGTTGATTGGCGGCAAGAGCAACTCGCAGATAAACAACGAAGTGTGTTGTGTGTGCTGCAAAAACAGCATCTCGAGCACGTTTGGGAGCTCGGAACATCCATCTGCGGCTGATGACTCAGCCTGTGGACGAATAATTAAATGGAAATGATTAGCGCTGGGGAACTAACTAACTGATAACGAGCTTTGGCACAGTGATTGATTGTTATTAAGTGAAAAACAAAGCTCCTAAACTGCACACTCAACTTTCAGGTGGCATTCCCATCGAACAGCTCTGAACTTGGTCAGAACGCGACGAGTCTTCGAAGGTCTTTTGAGGATACACAGGCTTAAGTCCCAAGCATCTCCATATTTTTCGAGCCATTCCCACAACCGCCTACTAAACACAATGGGTTCCATCAACTGCAAGGAGTACAAGACCACGGGCAGTACGCCCAAAAAGGAGAAGTCGACAGGTAAATGTACGATTTCCAGATGAATAGCTTTCGAAAGGGCAATTCGCAGACATAAGTCAAGGCCACATTCCCAATTTGACTACGCCACTTCTAATCTCGAAAAGGGTTTTTACAATTTCTCGCGCAACAAAACCGCTTTCTTCTGCTCAATAAAATAAAATCATCTTGCCCAAGTCCAGTTCACTTGTTAAAGTTCCAGAAGCACTTATCCCAATCGCCTCGCTTTCTGACTCCAATTCGAAAAGTGCGTGGTAATGTCGTAGATGATCCGATAGCCAACAGTGCCGTGTACCTTTTACCAATCGAACGAGGCCAAATGGCTTGGAGTTGTGATTAGGAGAATGGGAATGACCCGCATTAGATGAATGATTTCGGGGCAGGGTAGGGGTGCCTAGATGATTGTCTCAGCGGCACAAGTCCAAGAGATTGGCGAAGAGCGCGCCACTTGTTTGCCACAGTAGCTATCGGTGCGGGAATGCTTATTCTCCAAGAGCTACAGTCCGTTTCCCTCAGAATATCCAATAGCATGGATATTAACTTTTTTCTTGAAAAGAGTTAAAGGAACTTCAGGTGGATCTCCTATAGTTGCGACCCCTGAAAACCCCAGCTGAGTCTACTTGTTATAGAGTATCTTCATGTGTTAGGCGATGCTAGGGGATGTCCACTGTACAACTGTTGTTAGTCACCGCCATCGGAATTTCAACTGCGTCTGTGTGCCTGCCTATTGCCTATTGCCATGTCTTGCATTCCGTTCTCTTGGGCTCTCCATGGAGGCCACAGTTCGCTTAAATTGGCTGCTCCAGAGGCGGTCTCCAGTTCATTCGTCCGCCAACTGCCGGCGATTAAGCGTTGGCAAACTCTTACGAACAGACGGAACATTCTCTTAGCTGCGGCCTGCCCCGTCCTTTTCTGTGATACCAGATTTCGTGAGTTATATATTTTGGTGAAACTTGTTCTCGTGCAATTGTTATTATTATTATTTGGCCTGGCTTTTGACTCACTTGCGTTGGACAAGGCCAACCGGTTTGCTCTCGTTTGTCCGAGTGTGTGTGTGTGGGAAACCCAGCTGTGCTATTAACATGGCGAATCATTGCTAATTAGACGAGAGAACCGAAAGAGGTTGGCAAATGTACAAATGTACAGTGCAGGGTCGATGTTTACTGACTACTGACTCGGTAGAAAAGTTGTCCCGTTCATTTCATTTTGCAGTCGTAACCCAACTACTTAAACCTACATCGCTAACTAATCCACATAGTACGTATTTGAAAGTATGTCAGCGACCTTACCCTCCTCCACAAATTGAAAGCGAAATTTTCTCTCACTGTACGTGAACTTCAGATAACTTGCTGTTCTCATGTTTGGTGCTTCGAACGGAATGTTTCATTTCCGATCAGCCCGCGTCCGTCCGTTAAAAGCCGAATCATCGCAGCTCCATCATGGGCATATCAGCGATATACCAGCGAAACCATATTACCATACATCATAAAGCCAGCCACTTCAGATAGGGGCGTGTAGACATTATCGCCATATCAGAATATCAGAACAGAATCGACTAGAACAGCGGGGAACACACATTTACAGGTGTTACGGTTACGCTTTATATATGTACATATGTTTCCCTAGCCGCTTGGCTTTTCTTGATGACGTAGCAATGTGAGGTTCTTAGTTATGCTGAGTTGTCGTGACATTGAAGTAGGTCGGATGGGTCAATCGATCCGGACTTGTCGCTAGGATCCGCTTTGTTGTGGCCAGGTAACCATCGATGGCAATTAGACAGCTGCCACTCCTTCCTCGGTGTTGTTCAAAATAATTGCCCTGAAACAAAATTTTACAATTACATATCAGGGTTTGAAAGGATAGATAATATTTATTGCTTTAGACTTTTCATTGACGTGATTGCTCGAAATGAACTCTTATCAATCTCATTCTGGCCCAATTTTTTTCGGAAACTACTACAAATGGTCACAAATTATTATTAGACGTACTCGACTTAGTTGGTATACTATCATTTGACTCAATTTATGAGAATGACTTTACGAAGCTGGCAATGAATGATCTCTGGCAATATAAGTTCATAAATATTGATCCTCTGCTCCGTCAGGTAGCTGTACTTTTGTATGGATGGATTTAAGTGCTTGATTTTCCTGAATTTTCCATATATTTTAGTTTTTGTTTGAGCCCTTCTTGACGGCCAAGAGCTCCAGTCGCGTAATTGCATCGTCGAGAAACCTGCGCTGCTCCTGCAGTTGCGGCAGGAGCTCCTCAGCGCTAAGTGGATGAGCGGGCTTTGGTGTTCCAGCTGATTTGGCTGATTCAGCCCAACGACTCCGCAGACCTGCTACTCCCATGGATGGCCTCAGCATATCCAGCACTCTTTTGATGATGGAGGGACTGGATTCCTGCTGCGGATCCTGGGGATGGATGTTGTGGTTATGTTGCTGGTCGCTGGCCACACTGCCCTGTGGGAACTCCGGCATGGTCAGCAAGGGTCCCCACAAAAAGGAACCCAATCCGGGGGCAGCCGCCGTTGCGCTTTCCGAGGAGTGTCCGTCGAGTTGCTTCCCTTGGGTGGAAAACCGTCCGTCGAGCAACTCAAGTTGGCGTTTCAAATCATCGAGTTTATGCTGCAGATGTTCAAAGTCAGCAGTTAGATTTATGGCCAGCCTCTGCGTGGTCTCGCCCTTGGAGATTTCCTCGAGCTTTTCTATTTGAATGCCTATTTGATGATCTCGTAGCTGAAGATCATCCAACAGAAGTTGAGTTTCCGCTCGAGGCGGTTGCTCTAAAAAGAGACGTGCGATTTCCGCCTGCAAAAGTTGCTTGTGGGTGCGCAGCGCACTTAGCTCCAGTTCCTGCGGGTTCCCAAGATTCGAGCGGGCCAGCACTGGTCCCAGGATCATAAGCAATCCCACAAAGACTTCTGAACGCGTGCGAAGCATTTTCTTGACTGGTATTCGATTGTTGTTTCTACCTGATCAGCAAGCGGTGCCAGAATTTCCCCTGGACCCTAGGGAAAAACTGGAAAATTTTTATGTTTCCATTCACCTACACACTCTTGTTATCTGTATTTGTATCTCCGTTTCTCTTTGCTTGTCTCTTTACATGATGGCTTCGACAGGTGGTGCCGTGGGTTCCTACCAGTCCAAGTGCAGTAACCAGAGTCCCAGTACAACCATGTCGGCGGAAGAGTCTTCGCCGGATTCGGAGTACACCAGTGCGGTCCTCGTGGACTGCAGAGTTACGGATCTGAAGGAGAACGAGATGAAGCAAGTGGACTTCGATGAGGACAACCGCGTGCTGCTTGTAAAGCAGAACGATCGTCTGCTTGCCGTGGGTGCGAAGTGCACCCATTACGGAGCTCCGCTCCAGACTGGAGCCTTGGGTTTGGGTCGTGTCCGCTGTCCTTGGCACGGCGCCTGCTTCAACCTGGAAAACGGAGACATTGAGGATTTCCCCGGTCTCGATTCCCTGCCCTGCTATCGCGTGGAGGTGGGTGTCGAGGGACAGGTGTTGCTCCGTGCCAAGCGATCGGATCTTGTCAACAACAAGCGACTCAAGAACATGGTCCGTCGCAAGCCCGACGATCAGCGGGTGTTCATTGTGGTTGGCGGTGGTCCCTCGGGCGCTGTGGCCGTGGAAACCATTCGACAGGAGGGCTTTACCGGGCGCCTGATCTTTGTGTGCCGCGAGGACTATTTGCCCTACGATCGCGTTAAGATCTCCAAGGCTATGAACCTTGAGATCGAGCAGCTGCGGTTCCGCGACGAGGAGTTTTACAAGGCGTACGATATCGAACTGTGGCTAGGAGTCGCCGCCGAGAAACTGGATACAGCTCAGAAGGAGCTGCACTGCAGCAATGGCTATGTGGTGAAGTACGACAAAATCTACCTTGCCACAGGCTGCTCCGCCTTCCGGCCGCCAATTCCGGGTGTTAATTTGGAGAACGTCCGCACTGTCCGTGAGTTGGCGGATACAAAGGCGATATTGGCATCGATCACCCCGGAGTCCCGCGTCGTCTGTCTGGGTTCCAGCTTCATTGCCCTGGAGGCAGCTGCTGGGTTGGTCTCCAAAGTGCAAAGCGTCACGGTTGTGGGTCGTGAAAATGTCCCACTAAAGGCCGCTTTTGGCGCGGAGATTGGTCAGAGGGTGCTCCAGCTGTTCGAGGACAACAAGGTGGTCATGCGCATGGAGAGCGGCATCGCCGAGATTGTTGGCAACGAAGATGGCAAAGTATCAGAGGTGGTGCTGGTGGATGACACGCGTCTGCCTTGCGATTTGCTAATCTTAGGCACTGGATCCAAGCTCAACACCCAATTCCTGGCCAAGTCAGGCGTAAAGGTAAATCGTAACGGATCCGTGGACGTCACAGATTTCCTCGAGTCCAATGTACCCGATGTATATGTGGGCGGCGACATAGCCAACGCTCACATCCACGGATTGGCCCACGATCGCGTGACCATCGGACACTACCAGCTGGCTCAATATCACGGACGAGTGGCGGCCATCAACATGTGCGGCGGGGTAAAGAAGCTGGAGGCCGTGCCCTTCTTTTTCACCCTCATCTTCGGCAAGGGCATCCGGTATGCCGGTCATGGATCCTACAAGGATGTGATCATTGACGGTAGCATGGAGGACTTCAAGTTTGTGGCCTACTTCATCAACGCGGCGGATACGGTGACAGCGGTGGCATCGTGCGGTCGGGATCCGATTGTGGCCCAGTTTGCCGAGCTAATCTCGCAGGGCAAGTGCCTCGGTCGTGGCCAGATCGAAAACCCGGCCACCCGTGAGGACTGGACTAAGAAGCTCGGCGAGCCCTTGCCCCAAGTTCGCTAAATATTCAATTTTATGTGTTTTACAGCTGAGATTTGTTGTTATATATTCATGCAATCGTTGAGTATTTATTATATGGATACTCGTATGCAAAATTCTATAAACGTGTAACTTTATCTGTGTATATTTATAATTGTAGTTGTGGGGACTTCCTTGAGTTCCCGCCTCAGTTGCCACTTTTGGCCCAAAAGATCAAAGATGTAAGAGTTCCATTCACTTGCCACACAATGTATTTTTTTGAGTCATATTGGTTTAATTTTGCTAAATAAATTATTTTAACGATTCGTATTCAAAACCAATGTTTTGGATTTCAGAAGTAACAAGCTAAGTTTTCTTTTCACGCTATGTCAGCCTGGATTCACCTGTTGACCTACAAATGTTTGCTTAATCCATAAGTTTTTTCGTATTTGCCTTTTTGCTTCTTTTTACACAACTGATTTTATCGCGTTAAAATCGAAATTCCAAATTAGGAACGTAACATATACGATCGATGGCCTCGCCTAGTCGGTGTTCCCAGCGTTCCCTGATCAACGAGGGCCTCAAATTGTTAACCACAAAGCTGGGAAGGACCCAGCACATGGTATGGTTTTGGGAGATGGTCATTTGGGGTGTACTAACTTACTATTTTTCGTCGAAAAGCTTCCGCTGAGGGAGTTCAGCGTGTCCACGCTGCAGGGTGTGGAGCTCCATCATCAGTATACAGGTCCGACCAGGATGTCCCAGCGACTGGCGGATGCCCAGAAGCGCACCCAATTGCTGGAGAACCGGAACCGTCAGCTCAAGGATCTGGTTCGTAAAGATGCGTCTGGCTACTGTTTGTGGTAATAGCACTTCCTCCTCAGGCGCTGGATAAATCGGAAGTCTTCGAGTCGCGAACAGTGATGCTGTACTCCCGAGCCTTCGACATCAGTCAGGAACTGATCGTAACCAGGATGAGGATCAACGAATTGGAGAACGCCTGCACGCAACTACGAAGGTATTGTACTGACCACAGTCGTTTAGTCAGATTATATATTCTGTTGTTCTGAAGGCGCATTCTGGAGCTGAAGCTCCGACACATCCAGCGTCGCCGGCTCCTCTGCCATGAGGTACAGATGCTGCAGCAAGCCCTGGAACACCAGGTGCCCACGATCCTTATGCGCCTCTGGCGCGGTCTTTGCTTCCTCTGGAACTGTGTGGACTGCCTGTCGCTGGTGTCCCGCGTGACCCGTCCTGCTTTTAAGGCAGAGTCCACAATGGATGCCCTCAATCTCTTTGTGGCGGGCTTTTGACATGTCTCGCTTTGTCCTGGCCTTCAATTTAGTATTTTTAACACTGGTTATCGAGCACAGCAGGGTTATCGACATCAATCGGCTTATCGAATCGGGCATTTTATTACTTTAAACGATTATACATACATAACGAAACATTTTTCTCTGGCCGGTTCTAAGATAAATTTGTATAGTACACTCACGCAAATGTAAGAGTAAATCGTCTTAAAACTGTTTTATTAGATGTTCAATTCTCAGCAACTCTGCGGAGTGTTTTTTTTTCCAGTGCATAATATCGATTTAGCGATTTTTTTTTGACGCCACCATCGCCTTATCTACTGCTGCGATAACTTTCGAAGTTACCTATCGCTCGAACTGTTTCAACCGATGGTTTCCAAAGACACTATCGCAAATCGCTTACCGAAGTGATTACTGGTGCATTTTTGTTTCTTGTTTGTGCACGTGCAGAACGCAACTAAATGCGCCGAGCCTGAGTCAATGCGAGCGGACCGGAGGACAGCGGATAGCGGGCGGCCATGGATCAATTCTCCCACGATCTGACGTTGGCTCTGGATCTGACGCTGATGGACAGGGCGAGTGGCGGCGTCGGTAGGTGGGGCTCCCGCCGCAGGACACGTTCCACGGGCAATCTGCGTAAGTAACCATCGCATGCCGACTCCTGCTCGCGGTAACCCCCCTCTGCTTAGCCTGCGCCCCTCAGCCTACGGAGGACTCCTCCAGCAGTCCGACGGACGCGCTGAACCAGGGGCACCATCACGGGCATCATGGCCACCACCACCACCCTAGTGCCAACGTGGACGGACTCGACACACACAACCTCAAGTTGCTAGCCAGTGACTCTGACGAAAAGGCGGAGGCAATGTTGCCTCTGCGTCTGCCACTGACCTTGCCTGGACGCATGGGTGCCCTGGAGTCGGACTCGCTTAACGAGACTTTCAGTCCAGCCAGGTAAAATGGTTAATACTTCTCGCAACGGTCCCCAACCTTATCGCTGACCTACCCCCAGATTCTATAAGCCCAACTCGCGAAGGAAACGCAAGATCAAGCGGATGTCCATGGAGTTCGAGTTCAGCAAGGAGACGCCCCACACCTTCACCGAATCGCCGCTGCAGCCCAGCCTGCTAAGTGGCAGCGGCTCTGCTACTGGAACCATACGCAAGCGATTGCTGAAAATTGACGCCACTGGACATCGTTCGCATTTGTTCTTCTGTGGCAAACGCAAGCGCTCAAACCGCGATCGCTACCATGAGCAGGATTCGGTCAAGCTGTACGCCTCGCCACAATCACAACTAGATGACCAGCACCTACAGCAACCACAGCACCACCAGCAGAGGATGCGCCCCCGCAGCTACTCCTCCACATCGAAGCCACTCAGCGACCGCCTGCTGCCACTGAACAAGGGTCTGCTGTCAAAGATCAACCGCATGGCTGCCCAAGGACAGCAGACTAAGCACACCCAAAAGACTGAGACGACGGACAAGGACTTGAAATGCCACCGTTCTGAAGGGCCCGGAGGAGTAAGCCAGGAGATGGAGGAGCTGCCTGATCAAAAGGACGCGGTCAAAAAGCTACCTTTGCCAAGTGCTGATGTCTCGACCCCCAACTTGAACTCCTTCACCATGGACACCATTGTGCCTGTGACCGATATTGATGCCTTGTTATTAAGTACGCCACCAGCTGCTCCTCTGCTGCGCAAAAAGGCGCAAGGGCAGGCGACGGGACACAGCAGCAGCGGCTCATCCAAGACGCACCGCCGCCGCCGCTTCCAAACATTTCCACAGCCTCAGCTGCAGCTCCAAGCTCAGTCAATGGACTGTAGCGAACTTTACGACTTCTTGAGCTCTAGTTCCCTGAGCTCGTCCACGGATAGCGAGGCGGAAGTGAGTGGTCATCGCCGGCACGACACCGATCGCGAGGGAGATGATGAACTGACCGACTGGCCGGGAAACGAGTTTGGACCCGGAGCCAGGTACGATCCGAAAAGAAAGCTTACAAAAAAATCACTACTGCCTCAAATACGCTCGGATGACACAATTGGAGAAGATGACACTCTGATGTCTGGCACCGAAGCGGGAGCGGTAGGAATGGAACCGCCTCCGAAGTCTCCAGCCCAGCTGCCTGAATCTCTGCAGGATTTATCCCGCTTCCAACCAGCCGGCGTCTCCGAGCCCATCGAAATCCAGAACGCCTGCTCGGAGATGGAAACGAATGCAGATGGCACCATGCCGGCTCCTCGTCAAATCGAGAGCGAAATGTCCGGCGAAACTTCTAATCCGTTTCTTTCCTCGTCGCCGCCTGGACACGCCCAAGGACAGGAAGTACGCGAAATACGCGCAGGGTGTCGCCGCATCAATGGCGAGCGACCAGGATTTAGCATCAAGATGAGCGTCAATGAGCGCATTGCCCGATTTCTGCAGGATCCGCAACAGACACAGATCCGTCTGCCGGATATAGAGCTGTATGAGACCGATAGCATGTGTAACCTGGCCGCGCTCTATTCACTCACCATGGTGGTAGAGCACGGATGCACGGTGCTTACCAAAACCGGGTAAGGCTAAAGAGATATGAATTCGCATTCGATAAGTAACTAAGTTGTCGCTCTTTCAGGAACACTACGCAGACGGTGAGTGTGGATCATATTCAGCCGCGTTCAGATCTCTTTGGCGACTTTAAACGGCGCTGCTACGGGGAGGAGGGAGAAGAGCAGCAGCAGCAAGAGCAGCTTCAGCAAGATCCCGGCCAGATTTAGCCCCAGAAAGCAACACATTAATCAAAACGAGACCAATCCCCAGCAAATGCAGACGCACAGCCATCGGCACTCGGAGTGAAACTCCTGGCTATTTAATACGCTTGCATTTCTGGGATGGAAGAAACCCTTAATCTAAGAATGCTTTTAGCTTGTTTTTGTGAAATCTGTTCCATGTACATAAGTTGCATTGGTCCGTGTATATACTAACTGACTTCGTTTGGGAACGGCGCCAACCAGACGGATACCGGATCCCAGATCCCGTCGGTTCGCCCACACGCTTGGAAGCGAGCGAGATGGCACGTTTCAGAGACAGAGAGAGAGGACCGACCGAAAGCCGTTGGCAGCCGTTCCACTGTACAAAATATATATTGTAAGACCTCCAGCGAATATGAATATAAGAAATATATGTGTGGTCATATCCGAATTAGATGTGGGCTTCAGTTTTACCAAGAATGTGGTGGACATTTGCCATAAAACAAAAGCATTCCAATATGATTCAGTCGCAGGAATACGGTATCAATAAGGTGTGAACAAACTTGAAAATCGTTCAAACTCTTCTCAATAAGAATGCTTGCTGTTTGTTGCACCACCGCACACGATGTTTGAAGGCTGAATCGGTAAAACCGGTTGCATTGGGAAACTACCTGCAGTTTGCGATCAAACGGCGCGAAATTCAAATGCGGTGCCAGCTGAATGGGAATTCCGTCAAACTTCCCACCCTCGCGAAAAAGTTGGCGCATGCTCGGTACTCGGCACTTGGCGCTCACTTGGCAACCCTCATGTGTGCTGGTGAGGGTCGGAAATCGAGGGCGGGTGGGGGTAATGGGGCAGACAGCGCCGAGCTTGCGTCAAATACGGACGCCAGTTGGACGCAGCTCGGGATTGGAGGCAGCCACGTTTCCTAGCCATCCGCCGTGTGTGTCGCAGCGACTGTGTCTGTGTGTGCCGTGCCGTGCCGTGCTGTGCTGTTCCGAGCCGCATGTGTCGCGTTCCGGGGACGCGATGTAAAGCGGATCCTCGCCAGCGTTCATTCTCTCATTGCTAGTAGCCGGATACGGATTCAGCCTGTCCAGTTTGTAGCCTGTTCTCCGTCTTCGCCACCGCTCCTGCTCGAAACTTCTTTGTCAACCGGCGAGGCTTGTGTTTTCAACGCTTTCACCAATAACGGTACTTGGGTGTAGCGGTTTTGAGGGGGAATCTCCTGGCTGTGGCGCTTATGCTCGGATGCACTGCATCCTGGGGGGAACCGCAGTGGGCACAGTGGCACCGCGAGTCATTTCCACGATGCGATGCGGTTGCTCTGCTTATTGATTTTTCACCAACGCTCACCCACTCACACACACGCGCACACACACTCGCACGCTGGCACCCACACACTTCCAGCCACACACACAGTCAGTGCTGGCACTTCGACCATTTTGTGGTTGGAAAATAGCCATTTTGAAAGCGGAAGTGCAGCGTCAGCCATTTTCGTTGAATGCTTCCCGTTTGGCGTGCACTAACAAATGAAGCTACACGTGCAGTTTGAAGATCAAAGCTAATGATTCTTAAAATATTTTGGCATACCTGGTGCACATGTTCGATGGACGAGTGAAATAACACGATTGTGATTGTGATTGTGATATATTGAAATGAAACGTGAATCCAGTTTAGCATTGCAAGTGAATTGTGGCAACACTGCCTGAGAAAGAGAGAGAGTGCGGTTTTGCTGGCTTGTAGCGTCCGCGTCCGAAAGCCGTACACATACATACATACATACAGACTCGGAAAGCCGAGCTAATCTCTTATCAAGCGACGACTGCCCACCCTCTCCCCTTGTTCCAGCCAATTCTTTACTGCACTTACATGCATACATATGTATATACATACATATGTACATATGTACATGAGGAACATGCTACATGCTACATTCTTCCGTTGAAAAAGTTTCTGTTCCATATAACAATTTTACCCAGAAGCTCTAACACTACATTTTCCGATCCCCACCAGAAGCGCTGCCATGGGGCAGGAGGTGTGTGTGAGCATGTGCATCACCATCTCGCTGTCGATCGCGATCTCCCACGCTCTCCGGCGCGCGCTCTCCGTGTGAGATTTTTCACCCAGGGTGGCGCAGTTGGAAAATGAGCACGTGCGAGGCGGCGGCCGCTGGCGAGAATGGGAGCCAGGCCAACTCCGAGGAGAGCCAGCCGCCGGATGATCAGAAGAAGAAGCAGCAACAGCCACAGCAGCCGCAGCAGGAGAGGAACGAGAA